CAGGCCCAGCTCACACCCTGGGACAGGCCCAGCTCACACCCCAGGACAGGCCTAACTCGGCCTGGTCTCCTCACACAGGCCTCACACAAGCAGGCTTTTTTGCCCCCTCGAAGCTTTTGCACTTACCATTCTCTTTTCTTGAGCCCCTGGCCCTCTGCATTCCAGTCTTTCTCTTACTTGTATCTTCAAGTCTTGACTCAGACTCCATCCCAGTGAACCCCCTGGGCCCACCCATGTAGAATTATACCCCCGGCCCATGTTCCCTGTTCCTGCTTTCTTTTTCATCGTTGCCTCTGTGATTGTGTGACCTAAGAGTTTACGGATCTCACTGGGATTTAAGATCCACAAGGCAGGCAGGCAGCTTTCTCTAGCTCGTGGCTGTGTTGCCATAACTAAAGCAGAGCCTGGCATGGGCCTGGCCTAAGAACAGGATCTCTGAAGCTATCACCTAATCCAACAGCCACTGAGGGTTCTCAAGGCTGCTCAAGGTGTCACGAGCCCGGCCAGAAGACATGGGGAACCAATCAGGATGCTGTGTGGTGGGGAGGAAGCAGCATCCAGGGCTGTGGCTCCTTGGCTTCCCTGCACAAAGCCACATTGCTGGGGTGTTAGCTGCCTGTCCATTCTCTCAAGACCTCTTGGGGTGCTTCTTGGAGTCTAGGGCACACACTGCACCTGGTTGGACTGTACAAGTTATTGTTGTTTTGTGCTATGCAATGGGGTTTTTGTTGTTATGTGCCATTGAGTCGCCCCATTACCCCAGTCACTGAATCAATCCATCTCACCGAGGGTCTTTCTCTTTATGTTGTTCCTCCACCTTTCCCAAGCATGACATCTTTCTCCAAGGATTAATCCCTCCTTGCAACATGTCCAAAGTATGTCAGATGAAGCTTCAGAATCCTTGCCTCCAAAGAGCAGCCTGGCTTCACCTTTTCCAAGAGGAACCTGTTCGTTTTCTTAGAAGTCCATGATATATTCAGTACTCTTCTCCAGCACCACAACTCAAAAGTATCAATTCTTCTACCATCCCTAGTCATTTGTCCAGCTCTCTGATGCATCGCAAGTGATTTCAAAGACCATGGCCTGCATCAGGTGCACCTTAGTCTCCAGACTTACGTCATTGCTCTTCAGTACTTTGGAGAGGTCTCTAACAGCAGACTTTCCCATCATAAATCATGGGAGAGGAGACTGCTCCCCTTTCTCCCATGGAGCAGTGGGTTGATTTGAACTGCAAGCCTTTTGGGTTGGCACCAGAGTATCTAAGAAACCAGTAAGCACTGAGTGGACATAGATTCTCAAATGACCTGTCATTTTCCAGACCCTGATGACAATGTTCAAATCCTGGGTGAAGGGTGAAATCCAGGCAGGGTGGGTGTGGCCAGGACACAGGGCGGGTTAACAGGAGAGAGACTTGGTCCCACCCGGCCTTGTCCACACTTAGCTAATTTCCCTTATAGCTATTCTCCCCCAGGCCCATGGGCTGCCCGCCTGCCTGCTAGGGTCAGGCCTCTGGATCTCAACCACGCAGAGAGGCTTCAAGACTCAGCTAGGTAGATCTCTCCACTCCATACCCCTGAAGACAAGAGTGGTACCTATTCAGGGCCTGAGGGCCAACAACTAATTCTGCCTACTATTTAAAAACAAATTAAAAACACAGTTGCTATTCTGACTACTCTGACTCCTAACTAGGATTTTTAAATGTCTGATTACTTATTCATTTCAGATTGAGCCTCACTACCTATTCCAGTACAGCAATTATCTATCCATTCTTTTCCTACTCTCCTGCTGCCCTCTCCCTGCCACTGTAACTATTTTATAGTTATAACAGTGGTTTTAAGCAGTACTTTTCCTTTTGTGACTGAGATACTTCACTCAGCATAATGTCTTCCAGATTCATCCACACTGTATAGCTTCACATGTTCAGTTTTTCAAAGGTGTGTAAATACTCCATTGAGTGAATGTACCAGAGTTTCTCTATCCATTTGTTTGTTAATGGGCACTTGGGCTGACATCTCTCTGCTATTGTGAATAATGTGGCAATAAGCATGGCTGTGCATACATGTGTCAGTGGTGCTTTCAGATTTTTTTGGTGGGTTTTTTGGTTTTATTTTAATAATTTTAATGAACATTTACAGAGATTTTGTTATTTCCATTTATTCATCGTTGCACTTTTCTCCCTGCCCAGTCCTCCCCATCCCAAAGGCCCCTCCCCTCCCGCCCCCGTTCGCTCCTCTCTTTGAAAAGTAAAATTCTTTCTTTGGTATACAATCCCCCCGCACCCCTCTCACCCCCCCAAGTACACTCCACTATGCAACCTTAATTCTGGACTCTTGTGATAACTATAATATCCTATCATATGTCGCTTTTATTCTCTCCCTTATCTGTTTTAATGCAGTATACATAATTTAACCAGTTTTTCTCAGTCTTACCCCAACCCTGATATCAGTCCCATTCTACAACAGTGGTACCATGCAGTATTTGTCTTTTTGTGACTGAGATACTTCACTCAGCATAATGTCCTCCAGGGTCACCCATTTTGAATAATATTTCATGAGTTCATTGTTTTTCAATGCAGCGTAGTATTCCATTGTATGACTATACCACAGCTTCTCTATCCATTTGTTTGTTGATGGGCACCTGGGTTGATTCCAACTCCTTGCTATTGTGAACAAAGCTGCAATAAACATGGGTGTGCATATATCTGCTTGGGTGGCAGTTATGGTCTCTTTGGAGTATATTCCCAGTAGTGCAATTCCTGGGTCGAACGGTATCTCTGTTTGCAACTTTTAGAGAAAGTGCCATACAGCCTTCCACAGTGGTTGCATCATTTTACACTCCCACCAACAGTGAATAAGTGTTCCAGTTTCTCCACAACCTTGCCAGCATTTGTTGTTTGCTGTTCTGTTAAATTTTGCTATTCTGACTGGGGTGAGGTATCTCATAGTTGTTTTTATTTGCATCTCTCATAGAGCTAGGGATTTTGAACATTTCTTCATGTGCTTGTTGGCCATCTGAATGTCTTCTTTGGTGGAGTGTCTGTTCATATCCTGTGTCCGTTTTTCAACTGGATTATTTACCTTTATCTTGTGGTGGCTTTCAGATTTTTTTAATGCTTGATTTTTCAAAAGTAGATTGCTAGGTCTTTATTCTGAGGTACCTCTGGGAGAACTCAAACCGTCTGTCTTCTGGTTAATAGCCAGGTTCATTAAGCACTTGCATCATTCCAGGGCTTGATGCCCCACCCTAGGCCAGTTACTTTCCTAAGCTTAAGAATATAGATGTGTTCAATCCACCAGATGCTCTGCTGGAGAAGGAGGGACAATCTCCTCCTGTACCAGTCAGATCCAAATTGATGGTACACACACACAATAATAAAAATAAAAAAATACAGATGTTGAAAAGCATAGGAGTCAAGTTTTGAATTCCAGCTGTCACTCACAGCTGCATCATCTTGATTTCTCAACTTGAGCCTCAGTCTGCTCGTCAGTAAATGGGATAATGAGACATCTGCTTCCCTGGGAGGATTAAGCCACGCAACTCCTATGGAGTGCTGAGCCGGGTGCCTGCACATAGAGAGCTCACCATGAAGGCTGGAGCTGGCTGCTGCTTCTGTTACAAAATCAAGGAAGGAAAGCAGGCAGGCTCAGCCACTCGCTCAGGCTGCCTGAAGACCTCAAAGGGGATCCGATTCCCGAGGCCACTGAATCTGCTAGTAATTAAGGGACTAGAAATAGAGACTTTCCCCTTTGGATTGCAGGATGATGCAAGCTCAGGAAAAACTAGCCCAGATGGAAACTTCTCTGGTGCCATGGAAATCATCCCAAAGAGGGGCAGTTTGGGTGAAAGCATGACTGTGGAAAAGGGACCCAAAGCCACGAGACCTCCAAGTTTCTAATTATCATACAGGAATCCTCTCTGCTTGCTCTGGAGCCGTGACTGGTGACTCACCAGGGAAGGGCACTGTAGTCACACAAAAATAACCCCCCAGTGGGTTTTTGATGTGCTGAAGCCTCTTTGTTTTTCATAATTTTAATGAAGGGCTTTCCAGAAAGGCTGAGAGGCACTCAGCACACTGGCTGGGCTGGGAAAGGAGTGGGGCTTAGCTTCGGGTCTGCAAGGGTCCCCTCCAAATCCTTGCCCCTAAGAGAGGGGTCAGGGTAAGATCCTTGTCCTCTGATGAAGTATCTAGGGAAGAATGAGAGAAAAACAAAAACAGAAGCTGTGTCTTTTTAGAAGCAGAGCTGGGCTCAGTGCTGCCGGGCCTCGTGTACGCTGGAGCGGTGGAGACAAGCAGTTCAGTATCTGAAAGGTTGGGGCTCTGGAAAAGCCAGCAGAGTTCTCGGGTCTGCACCCACCCCCAGCCCCTCCTCCACAGAGTGGGGAGAGGTTCCCCAGGCTGCATGGGCAGGAGGGAGGTGGTGCCTTTCTTTCCGAACCCAAGGCCATCAAAACAGTCACTCAACCCTGAAGCAAACTACTCACTTCTTGCTCCCTCTTTAGCCTGAAGGAATGCGGCAAAGGGCTGGTGGACCTTCAGGAACCTGCCTGACTAGCACTGAGCATCCACGGTTGAGGCAGGTTTATGCTGGGCCTCCCAGGACCCACTGGGCATCATCGCCCCATCCACATCTCCAGGGTCACAATTTACAGACACCACACTCCCACCATGCAGTGGTCTCTGGAGAATCCAATCACTTCCCACTAAGAGCACCCCTTCCTCCTGAATCTGACTGTCCCTGAAGCTGGTCAACAAGGTATGAGTTCCCAAAAAGCCACTGGGTCTCACTCAAGATGGGTCTTTCTACGGAGAGGGTGCTGGAAAAAAACAGGGTACGCGACCACCGGAGAACAAAGCAGTTTATTGTAACTGAATGACCCAGTGTGGTCTACTGAGAAAAAAAAATTATTACAAAATATTACAGATAAAAATTCCACGCTGAGGACAGGCCTTTTTAGGCCTGCTGGACTCCAGTCCGAGGCAGAGGGGCTGTGTATGGGGGTCAGGACTGCCGGGGCTGGTCCATAGCATCCTCCCGCTCCTTCTCCATCTGCAGCTGGTCCCACTCCATGAGGAGCTCGGAGGACACCTCAGTGTACAGATGGTCCCAGTTCCACTTGACATCATCCTGCCAAGAAGGGGATCACCACGTCAGACAAAGAGGGGCCTTTGTCCTTGATCCCAACCACCTTCCCACATCCATCTGGGCCTCTGAGAGGCACAGGCCGGTCTGTGGGTCAGCTGACCACCGGGCCACCTGTGCCAAGAGTGAGGAGGAGCTTCTGACGCCACCGTACCTCTCGAACTTCATGTTCTGGTGCCAGGACTTTGGTGAGGAGCTTCAGGTCGATCTCTCCATCCTGTGAACAGAGAAAAGAGCCACTGTGCACCTACAGGGCCAGCACACAGCAATCTCGTGGAGAGTCAAGAAGTTCGAACTCAAACCCAGACCTGAGAGAGGTTGTAACTAAGGAGTAACATGGTGAGTGGACAACACGGCCACTGAGAACCGAGAGGAGGCTGGAGCTTCCTGCATGGGGGCCCTTTTATGGGGGAACCCCAGGAGACAGAGTATGAGGCAGCCATCAGAGTCAGGGCAGAAAGATGTGGCTTCAGGTGTCAGGAGAGAGGAGGTGGAAGCGGGCAGAGGTGTGGTTGGGGGTAAGTCACGGGAACCTTAAGTCGAGGGAAGTGAGGGGCCTGAGGAGAATGCCTTCAGCAAAGATGCTGTTGCCAAGCAGCATCATGGACCCACAGAATGGATACTGTGGCCTTGGGGACTTGAGCAGTCTTTCTGCCCAAGTTGCTGGAGCCTGTGCAGGGAGTGAGTCCACTCACCAACGTCTGAAAGGCCGAGTACTTCATAAGGTCATTGTCTAGGTCGCGGTAGGTCATCACCCGGTTGACCTGGACGCTACAGGAAGGAGAAGGAGAGGAGGAACCACAGGCAGGGCCAGTCCGGGAGTACTGCTGGGCCCCATCATTCTCACTCACTCACTGCCATCGAGTGGGAACCCACTCATAGCTGACCCTTCCGCAGGCTTTCAGAGGCTGAAAACCACATGGGAGGAGACTGTCCACCTTCCTCCACGGAGCAGCTGGTGGCTCGGAATCGCCTGCCTTTGGGTTGGCAGCACAACTCCTTGCCCCCTGGGCCGCCAGAGCTCCCGAACAGCCTCGTACACACCCAAAACAAAACAAACCCACCCAAACCAAGTCAATTCTGACTCATGGTGACCCCACCCGCTTTCTGGGTCTCTGAATCGGAATGAGAAGAGACTGCCCATCTTTCTCTTGCGGAGCGGTGGTGGGTTCGAATCACTGCGCTTTCAGTTCGCAGCCAGCATGTTACACACTGTGCCACCAGGCCTCCTTCAGAGGCAGTCAGGGATGATAGAAATGCGAGCAAACTCCCGGCAAAGTGGAGACTTCTGGATCTCCCCTGGGATCAATCCCTGCGGATGGCATTTGGAGTGCCATCCTCCTCTCCTCCCTGCCAACTTCACACCTACCTGGGAGGGGCTGCCACCTGCAAAACAAAGTCTTCTTCCTGTACTTCTTCCAGATCCGGGATAACAGGAATGTCTGCAATGAGAGATGGAGGTGCAGCTGTCAGCTACCTGTGTCTCCCGTTCACTCCCTCCCAGTCAGCACAGTGGTGGAGGGCCACAGGATGGCCGCAGAGCGGACCCTTACAGTCTCTGGTCCCCAGGAGCTCCCAGCCTAGGGCTGTGGGACCAAATGGGGATGAACATCAGAAGCAATGGCAGAGACTCAACATTTTCCAAGTCCAGGCCTTTTCCCAGAACCTGCTGAATTAGAATCTCCTAGGAAGGCTGGAGGCAGGAGTGGCATCCACTTCCTAAACAACATGCCTCTGGAAACTCTATGAACTTTGATAAATGTCGATAGTTAAAGAAATGCTGCAGGCCTTTTGTTCATAGGGTCACTATGTATCGCACTCGACTCGAAGGCGATCAACAACAACAGGTAGGTCTAGGATCCCTAGTGGTTTCATACAGAATGTGCCAAGCTGCTAATGAAGATGTCAGCAGTTCAAATCCACCAGCTACCCTGCAGGAGAAAGACGGGCAGGCTTCTCTCACTAACATCTACAGCTTCAGAAAGCTGAGTGGACTGGATTCCACGGCGGTGGGTATGGTTCTGGTCTGGGCAGGACCAGGGAGTCCCGAGTGATGCAAAGGTTTCCACACTTGGTGTTAACTGGGAGGTGGAAGACTGAGCCCACCCAGAGGCATTTTTGGAAGATAGGCTGGGGATCTGTTGAACAATCAGTCACTCAGAAACACCATGGATCCCAGCTCTACCCTGACACACATGGAGCCACCAGGAATCAGTGAAATCATTTAACAGAAATGGCGCTTTTTTTTTTAAGGGAAGACTCAAATATCTGTTCTGTGTTATCCATAAGATTGTCACTCGTCAAGTTTTTAGAGGTAAATATCCAGGTCCTCCTTCCCAATCTGTCCGAGTTTGGAAGTGCTACTGAAACCTGGCCACTGTGGATGTCCCTGCTGGTAACCGAAATACTGGTGGCAGCGCTCCCCCACCACAGCAACACACAAGCCGCCACACTGCGACTACACGACAGGCAAGTAGTGGAATGGGAATTCTGTAACAATTGTGTTCACTCCGAACCTGACCTTAGACCAGAAGGCAGTTGCTCCAACAGAACCAGAAGGCACTGCGTGGCTTAGAGCCACTCAAGGTGTGTCAGGGCTGTATCCTTTCACTGCACCCACTCGACCTGTACGCTGAGCAATCAGGGAAGTAAGCCACACTCCACAGAGAGGAATGTGGCATCAGGATTGCAGGACCATGCGGTAACAAAGTACTTATGTAAATGAAACAGCCTTGCTTGTTCACAATGAATAAGACTCGAAGTACTTTCTGATGAAGGTCAAAGACGACAGCTTTCTTAACATAAAAAAATAATAATAATAAATCTGAAAATTCTCCCTAGTGGACAAGCAACAACATCAGGATACACAGAGAAAAGGCTGAAGCCACCAAGGGTTTCATTGGACTTGGACCTACAATCAATGCCCAGAAAGGCAACAGTCAAGAAGCCAAACAATCAATCACATGGGGCAAATCCACCCCCTAAAACCGCTTTAAAGTGTTAAACAGCAAAGACACCACTTAGAGCACTACAGAGTATCTGACCAATCCATGATTTCCTCAATTGTCTCATGGATGTGAAAGCTGGAAGAACCAATTCCTCTGTAAGATGGTGTTAGCAAAGAACACGGACCATGGACTTCCTGTCTTGGAAGTGGAGCCAGCGTGCTCCTTAAATGCAGGATGGTAAGACGTTATCCTACATATTCTGGACATGCCGCCAGGAAGGCCCAGTTCCTGGGGAGGAACATCATACCCGGTAAGATTAAAAGTAAGCAGGACAAGCACAAGTAGGGCAGCACTACAAGACCCTCAGCAGAATGGGCTGACATGGACGGTACAAGCAAGAGCTCAAGCGCAGCGCTGGTTGTGAGGCTGGTACATGACCAGGCGGCGTTTCATGCTGTTGTACGCAGGATCTCTGTGAATCAGAACAACTCACCTGCACCTAACAACAGGAGACACAGGCTTCTGCAGAGCATGGTCGTCCAGACGCATGCACTGGGTGAGGGGTCACTGGAGTGGATCGCCACACAGAAATGTAAGGAAATGAGAAGAGGCTCTCAGATAGCACTTGGGAGAGGAGATGAACAGGGAGCAACGGGCCTGCAGTGGTGAGAGGCACTGTAGCTGAGGACGTTAGTGCCGTGAAGTCGATGTGACCGTGAGCACCGTGTCCTCGTGAGCACGGCCCACACGCACATTAGCTCGGGAGCTAGCTCGGCAGCTGTGGGCATTCCCTTCGTCTGCATCTGGGAGACAGGTTACACTCAGTGATATGATCTGGCTCCCGACGTTGTACCAAAGGGCAGAAGCTCCAGCTGCCAGGGTGCAACGCAGCACAAACACCATATCCAGACTGAGGGTCACACCTCTCGTCATCCCCTGGGGACTGTCTGCTCTGGACTCTCCAGCTGCGATCACAATATATGAGGAGACACGGGGCCATTTCTTCCATTAGTTTAAGAAAGTTGTTTAAATAGAGAAACTGAGAAGACCACACCTCTTCCAATCACATACAGCAAGCTGCTTAAGGTACCACAACTAGGCTACCTTGTCACAGGAATAACCTCACACCCTAAAGAAGCATTTCCTTCTCCAAATGACTGTCATCAACTGGTTGAGGAGTTCTGTGATGTTTAGCTAATCAGAGTAAAAAAAAAAATTAAAAAAGAGATGTGGTAGGAACCAGGCAGTCCTAGAATTCCCAAACCATTTGCAAACATCAAAAGGAAGAAGAAGGGAGCAGTGAAGAAGCTCTCACTCCTGCTTCCAGGGGCTAAATTCCATTTTATTTTTAAAAGGTGGGGTGGAATCATTCCAGAAGAGCTGAGAAAGCCCTTGCCACTTCTAGGCTACTCCTCAGACTCCCAGATTGCTCTGGCCAAGGCACACCAGCATACAGAGGCCTGGTGTCACTATTATCACCTCCAAGAATGGAGTCACAGATGTTGTACACTTGGAAAAACAGAGTGTGCAAGAGAAAATATGAATGCACGAGAAAAACACAGAGAATAAGGCAGTGAAAAATCAGAAAGGCAAAGCAAGGGAGTGATAAAAAAATAAACTGGTAACACTGATGTTCATAGCAGCATTATTCACAATAGCAAGAACATGGAAACAGCCCAAATGTCCATCAACAAATGACTGGATTGAGAAACTGTGGTACATTCACATGATGGGACATTATGCAGCACTCAGGAGCAATGATTTTGAAAAATACTATGTAATATGGGAGAGGCTACGGAGCACTATGTTGCGTGAACTAATTCTGGCTCATAAGAACAAATACTGTATAGGACCATTATTGTAAAAATAGTAGGTTAACCAACCAGTGAGATCTATACAGACATTCAAAGAGTGAGGGGAGGGGGCAAGAGGCTGAGGATAGGAGGCGGGGGAATCACAGTGTCAAAGAGTTTGGTGGGTGGAGGGAGCCAGGGGAAAATGTACATGAATGAAGCATTATAATAATGATAAAGTTAAAAAAAGATAAACTGGTAATGGAGAAAATAAAGAGACATTTATCTCACTTCCAAATCAATGGAGTCCTGTAGTGCAGCTTTAAAAACTTACACATCTCAGTTTTGCTCTAAGATTCTACTTAAGAAGTTGGAATCTGTCTTTCTTTTCCACTCATGCTCCTGGGGATTTAATGCCACCCACCACCAGAGCTACGGACACAACTGTGTCCACCGTCCAGGGCGAGCTGGGCCCGTGGCTACCGCGGTCGCACAGGCCTGCCGTGCGGCAGGAGGAAGCTGGCTGTGCCGCGTGCCATCAGCACTGACAGCTTTGGAGTGAGCCAGCTTGCTGCCTCTGGCTCTCCCCGGGCTTGGAGTCCAGCCCGAGATGAATATTCAGAAGTTGGTAAGAAGATGCCCCATGCCGAGTTTGGGGCTCAGGACAGGGGTTCTCCCAACATCTTCTCTCCCTCCACAACTTTAGCATTTGGGCCTTGTCAACCCTGCCCAACTTCTCTGAGCTCTGAGGAATTGCACTTCTGCCCACTGTCCACTCGGGCTCCCCGTGGGCTTCCCCCCTCATCTCCACCCCCCCTCCTCCAAATGTGCACCAAAGAGTGTGGGGAGGGCCCATCTGTGACAGATCAGAGGTCAGTTTGGGCCTTGGCAAAGGGGCTGCTCAGAGTGGCACTGGTGGGGCTGGCCACACAGTGGGACTTCTCTCTAATTGGAAGCCTGGTGCCCGGCAGAACCTGGTGAACCGCCTGAGTGGGACAGAGCCAGCGATGACAGCCAGGCCAAGGCAAGCTGGAACATTCCGGTGCAGTGACAGCTTGAGCCATCCCAGCAGAGCTAGGCCATCCAACTCTCAGCCCCCAGCGGAACAGGTGGCCGTGGAGCAGGACTGGGGCGAACTTCAAAGAACTCTGCAATTTCAGTTTCTGATTCACAGTCACAGACAAGTGCTTGCATAATAGAGGCCTGGAATTTTTCTTTTCCTGTCTTCCTCTCTCCCTCCCTCCCTCCCTCCCTCACCCACCCCACTGCTCTCACACACACAGACACAAGCATGCATACACCTCAACCCAAGGAAATATACTTGAGAAATCTAGCTCTTGACAAAATTAACCAGCTGAAGTCAGAGCTGATTCTCACCCACAGTGACCCTACACAACAGAGCAGATGCCTCGCAGGGACTCCAAAGCTGTAACCTGTATCACAAGGAGTCCTGGTAGCGCAGCGCATTATGTGCTGGTCTACTAACCAAAAGGTCAGTTATTTCAATCTACTGGCTGCTCTGTGGGATAAAGGTGAGACGATGCCCTCTCATAAAGATTAGTAGCCTCGGAGGCCCAACGGAGAGTCACTGTGGATGGAAGTGACTCGAAGATTTGACAGCTGTGGGTTTGGTTCTAGTAAATCTTTTTCTCTTTCTCTCACAGAGCAGCTGATGGGTTTGAACCACTGGTTTCTTGGTTA